TATGTTAGATGTGAGGAGGGCATCTCCTGGGAATTTTCTCAGGCATGAAAACTATCAGTTTACCTTCTGTCAAGGGAAAGCCCTTGGGCTGTCATCTTACCTGGGAACATATTGAAATGTGAAAGTTCTTAGACACAAACAAATAAACAAGTGAGTAAACCATTTTCTGGAAACCCAATTGGACTGGAAGCTAATACAGTTCCCAAGGAAAGGCTGCCAGAAGATACATTGCTTTGTGCTCTGTGGATGCTACATCCAGAGAATCATGTGCTGCCTTGGAAAGGACCATTGCCCCAGGTTTGGAGACAGACACCGAGTTACAAGCTCTGTCACTCATTGTCATTAGTGAATCACTGAAGCCTGGCAGTCTCAGTTTCTCTCACTGTAGAGTGAACATACATGTTTTAGTCCACAAGTTCGTCGTGTTGTCTATGAAGAGCAGGGACTTGATGTATGTGAAAGTGCTTACAGATGTCAAGGCTAAGGGACCGACCGAGGGTATGGTTGGGTGGCAGAGCATTCCCCTAGCATGTATGAGGTTTGGATTTTATTCCCAGCACTGGGCTAAAGAAAAAGGAGAAGAAGAAAAAAAAAAAAAAAATCAAGGCTACCTTTGTAGTCACAATGCACAGTGTGTCTATTACATGAGAAGAGTGAGTCATAGGCTTAAATTCACAGCTAAGTGTTTTGTCTTTGCCTTTGTTTTCATATTGTCTCAGGAAACTAAAGCATATTTATACATGTTTGAATGTGAACTACAGGTGAATAAAAGGAATGGCATGAATAAACATGACCATATACAATAATGTAGAAGTAGAAAACAATGACTTTCTGAAAATAAATAAATCTTGGAGAAAACACAGTAAAAAACAGCTATCCCCAGCATGTACTGTGTTGTGGCTCAAATTTTATTACTGTAGGAAAACTTTTGATGAGATATCATCTCCCGGAACAAAGGTTCATGTGGACCAGTTTTCTGAGACTGTGCCAATTTAATTGAAACCGCCTTATTCACATGGAAATACAAACAGAAAAGCAAGGAAAACTGTGTTTTACATATTTCTAATTTTTGCTTGAAATCCACCCATATCAATATGCTGTTTGAAAACAGCAAGCGCTGGGTCAGGATTTGTTTTCCAAATGATCAGTGGTAACATAAGCTAAAATCCAGCAAGAGCTAAGATTGTGTTTCGTAATAAGACAACTTTAAGGCTGTTTTTTAAAGATTAATTTGTTAATTACGTGAACATCTGGGTTTTGGTTCATCACTTCCCTTCGAAACCTTGATTAATTTATGAGATTTTCATCCCCATTTGCTAAAAGAGCAGTGAGTCGTCCGGCGTTCCACACCAATGAAGGCAAAAGTTAATTGGATTCCAGATCTCTTCCCATTTTTCCCTTCAGCAGCTCCTTGCTGTTGCTTTGAGTGGAACCAGGCGCTAAGGGATTCTGTGTGTTTGTGTGTGTGAGAGAGAGATACAGAAATGAGAGGAATTACAAGTGATTGGAAAGTGAGTTTGGAAAAAAAAAAAAAAAAAAAAAAAAAAAAAAACCATTTCGTATTTCCTTTGGTTTGGGTGAGAAAAATCTCGAAAGCTAACTTCAGAATGAGTAAACGTATTTTCTTGGTGCACACTTTAAAAAAAAAAATGATTTGATTTGGGAACCATGTGTATGCATTACAAGAAAGGACTGTTTAAGATTTTCTGTGGATTAAAGTGTTTATGGTTTGGAAAGAGGAAGTCAGAGATGCACAGCCCCCAAGCCCCATCCCCCACCCCACCTCCACCCTGGAGGAAGAGGGGGCAGGAGACTGAAAAAGGGGGTGGGGCAGAGGTGGCTAGAGCTGAGACTGCTGTTACCAACCTCGCTGCAAATATGGAAGCTGTCCATAGCACTTAACAAGTCATGGGTAGCTGAGATGGCCAGCAGGACAGACACACCTGTATTTGTCTCTTGATCTTGGTGGCACACTCACATAAGAAGGGGAATTCAGCACATGGGCTGTAACCTCACTTCTGCTTTTACTTTGCCTCTGGTCACATCTCTCTTCTGTTTTTCTTCACAACATTACTTTTTGAGTTATTATTGACCTTGTAATCTGTACAGTTATGTGAGCTATTAGAAACCTTTTCTGTGCCTTGAAGGAGTATGAGTACACATATGAGTAATGTAGGGAAATTCTGGGAGGTTATTTCTGGAAGGCAAGACAGGGGTTTTAATTGTGTGAGAGCCAGAGTTCTGCGTAGCCAGATGTGTGCATATGTTTATGGCGACCATTCATTTCCTAAGTCAGATAGAGTATTTCATGTTTTTACTAAGTACAGAAGACAGTGTTTGCGTGGTAAGGACTGACTTTTTCAGGAGAAAGATCTGTAAATGTGGGAGAGATAGAAGACAGCAAGGAGCTGTGAGATTCAGTTCTGATTTTATTTTCACCAAGAAAATACAGGCAAGGTAAGCATAGTGATTCACTTCAAATATTTTTTAAAAATTCTATTAAAATGTATTTTTTCTGCCTAAAGTAGCCAATCATGAGTGAATGGGTTTTGATTTTTAATACTTTTCCATAATGTCCATTTTATTTGCACAATGGAAAATAAGAATAAAATATCTTAACTCTTCAATTTGACTTTAAATAAGACCTAACAATTTAAAGAATCAAGGTTATTTAAAAGCAAAGCAGAATAATTTATTTCCATTTATTCTTTCTTTGAACAAAGATGAAAATGAGACTTTACCAAGCCATTTCCTTAAACATTTTCCCAGTCCATTCAAAAACACCATTGATAATAAAATTCGTGACAACCGGGGTGAAGGCACAGACTTACTTTCGTGTTAAGCATACTTATTTTTTTATGAGCAAATAATAAGAAATCAATTGGGGAACCAAAAAAAGGGGGGGAGGGTTGGCTATCATAACAGTAATGAGCATTTAACAAAACAAAGCTTACCACAAACATTTACAAAGGTCAAGTCTCTGAGTTCATAGGTGCCACAGGGTGGTGTTAGCATTGCTGAAAGTGGAGCATTGAGTGCTAACAGGGACGGGCATAGGGGAGCACTACAGGGACGGGCATAGGGGAGCACTAACAGGGCGGGCATAGGTGAGCACTAACAGGGACGGGCATAGGGGAGCACTAACAGGGACGGGCATAGGGGAGCACTAACAGGGACGGGCATAGGTGAGCACTAACAGGGCGGGCATAGGTGAGCACTAACAGGGACGGGCATAGGGGAGCACTACAGGGACGGGCATAGGGGAGCACTAACAGGGACGGGCATAGGGGAGCACTAACAGGGACGGGCATAGGTGAGCACTAACAGGGCGGGCATAGGTGAGCACTAACAGGGATGGGCATAGGGGAGCACTACAGGGACGGGCATAGGGGAGCACTAACAGGGACGGGCATAGGGGAGCACTAACAGGGATGGGCATAGGGGAGCACTAACAGGGACGGGCATAGGTGAGCACTAACAGGGACAGGCATAGGGGAGCACTAACAAGTACGGGCATAGGTGAGCACTAACAGGGATGCTTGAAAGCCTTCACATACAAAGCAACTGGACTTCACTGTCTCCTTCCTCCCAGTCTGGCTGATAAACAGTGTCCCTGGAGTGTGTGTGTGTGTGTGTGAGAGAGAGAGAGAGAGAGAGAGAGAGAGAGAGAGATAGAGAGAGAGGACCTGCCACTCAGCACAGGTGTCTCTACTCTGCTTTTAGAAGTGTGACTGAGGGGTGCTGGGGTTTTTGTATTTCTTCACAGATCCAAATATTTTCTCTCAAAATGTTCCTTCATTATTTCACTCCAATGTACCACTTTTCCCTTGGAATCTCACCTGGTGAAGAGATTCATGAAACATGAATAAGTTTGTTCTGTAGATTTCTAGGCTTATAGGTGAAAACCTTTAACTACTTTAACTCCTTCCCACAGTTGTAAAGATGATGAATATGAGTGCTTTGAGTTGATTCAAGAAAACTATATTTACCAATCAATAGTACAAAGGGCGACTATCATTTTGCAGATTACTATGTTTTGGAATTCAAGGTTTAATTATATAAATGTCTAGTTTCCAAGACAGCAATAAACATGGGAGTAATCACCACATTTTGATTGGTTTTAAGGTCCACTCCATGAGACAGAATAATTACCTAATACTGACAAAGTAGCCAAGAACCTGAGACTAGATAGGTAATGTCCCTAGAGGAAAACTGACTACTATTATTCTGCTAAAGGAACACAGCAATGAAATAAATCCTAATGATATATCACTATCTCTACATGCCAGAACATTGTTCAACCCTAATCAGACAAGCTCCGGATTGCAGTAAGTAGATGGCAATTAACAAAGAGATAGATCTACACCTGGGCACTGTTGTCTCAGAGAGTGAGAGACTTTGGAGAACTCAGCTCTGAAACGGATGTCTTTATCAAACCCTTCTTCTCCTGGCTCAGGGAACCCTGCAGAAGAGGGGACAGAAAGATTCTAAGAGCCAGAGGTGGTGGACGACACCAAGAAAACAGTACCTTCTGGATACAACAGGACTGATCACACATGAACTCACAGTCTGACAATATACACAGTCCCTGCACAAGCTCAGACCAGAGGGAGTTCTAGCACCGAGAAGGGAAGTGGACACTAAGTCTCACCTCTAACCAAGGTGCCCTTTGCAATTGACACTGTCTGGAAAGGGAAAATCAGTTTTGTTCAATGGTGTGTCACTGGTATATTAACCACACTCCAGACAAGCCTCATGGCCAGGAGTAGTTGGCCAACACAAAACAGACTCCTCCCCCACCCTTGGTCCTATTGATTTTCTCTCTTTTTGTCTGTTTTTGCTTTTGTAATAGAGAGAAAGAACATGAATTTGGGTGTGTAGGGAGTTGGAGGGAATCCAGAAGGAGTTGAAAAAGCTATGATAAAAATTTATTGTGTAAAAAAAATCGAATAAATTTTTTTTTTAAAAAAAAAGATACCAAGCTTGGGTGCAAAACATACTGAGCCAAGATCATTTAATGGTATTAATGAATGATATTTCAGCAAATGCAACTGTATGTTCACTAAACAAATCATTGAGCTGAGTACTAGCATATGAAAACAGACCAATTTACTGTGAACATGTATGTGTGTGTGTATGTATATTTATGTGTATGTGTTTGTATATGTTTGCAAGAGGAAAGGTCATCACCAGGTGTCTTCTTCAATTGCTTTTCTGATTGATTGATTGATTTATTTATTTATTTATTTATTTATTTATTTATTTATTTATTTGAAACAAGGTCTTCCTGGACCTGGGCTAGTCTGACTGGCCAATAAACTCCTGGGATTTTTCTGTCTCTGGTCTGCATCCCTGTGGCTCTGGGTGCTTGCTGCTCTGCCAGGCTTTGCTGTGTGGGTTCTGGGATCCAAGCTCAGGCCTCCACTTGAGGCAAGCACTTCACAAACTGAACCATTCTTTACTGGATTGAGTCTTAGGAAGCAGACACTATCTCAAGCGTTATGGTGACAGATATGCTAACCAACATGATTTGATCATTAATCAAGGTATACATGGGTCAAAACAATTACATAGTACCCCATAACTATGCACAACAAATATTTGTCAAGCAAAAAAGAAGAGTATGAAAACAAAACATTCCCCCATCCCCTGTTCCAGAAAGAGAGAGGGACAGGTATCATTTTAGTGTTTTATTTTTCAAGAATCTTGGTATTGTGTCTCCTTCCTGAATGGCGGCAGTTCGAGCGATATATTGCTTCAAACCAAAACTTTTTTTTTTTTTTTAAATTTCAAGCCAGAAATTCATGTGCATTTTTTCTGACAGGGTCCTCTGAAGTTTCTTGTCACATATTTAGTTCTAAAGCAACTGCATTGTCCCCGTGTGTGGGCTCTTCCCCCATCAGATGGTTTTCCATGCACTCATGTACTCTTAGCTGTCATTTTTAATATTCACCCAGAAGCAAGCAGGAATTACATTGTTGGAACTGTTCCATTTGCCAGAGGGGAAGTTCCTGTGTGTGGTTATTGATGTTCTTTTCAAAGTCAACAAATGACAGCTAAAGAAAGGGTGGGAGACGATTTGAGGCAGTTAGGCCTGCAGGCGGCTACATACACATAAACAGAAGTTGATCTTATTATTTCAGGAGACTGTGGGCTTAGCTCCTCCGTGGCAGAGAAGAGACAGGTCTTCTAGTAAAAACCTTGAGCTTAACTGGGTAAGTTGTTTGCTGTCTTTTGTTTCAACACAGGTTTTGTTCTTGGAGGGAGCAGTCTTATGCACGTGGGAACAGTCAGCCTTGAATGGGAGGACGTGGGGCCTTTGATGTGACTCGGCCATTCTCCCTTGGTAGCCTTTTGCCGGTGTTATCTTTAGTGACAGAGCATTGCAGCTGTAAAATGACCATGGTCACTGCCAAGTCATGAGGATTACTAAGATGGCCTCAGCACTGGCCTGACTGAGCCTTTCATACCCAGATGTGGATTCCTCAGGGCCACACTGAAAGAGAGAAACATATGCAGCAGACAGGCAATGCCCCTCATCTACCTGTCCGTGTGCATGACTCTAGATGATAGTTCTACACTTGCCTGTTTTATTTTTCAAAATTATTTTCAAATGACGATGTTCTTGAAGACTCTCACATGCTTTGAAGTCATGGCCTCCTGTTTTAGTATTTCTTGGGGGGCTTCTAATAAAGTTTAAGGAAAACAAAAGGTGACCTCTGAGACCCTCCACTGCACCCACCAAATGCAGATTCATACTTACTCTAGATTGTCTTGTTGGGCAGGGATGTGATGAATAACTTCATAAATGGTTCCAAGAAAATCTTGCCCTGTCACGCCATCAAGGGCTGGAGCGGACCTACTTGGCATCTAGAAAACATAGCACATTGAAAGGAAAAACTTAGCCCACGATTAGCCTTGAGGATGACAGACTAGATGGGTGGATGTTAGCCACCTCTGGAATATGACTTCCTCCTTGCTACAATTTCCTGCACCCATGCTATGTTGTTTATTTCTTTCTTTCAGGAATAGCTTGGCAATCCTACCACTTTTTTCGTCACTTAAGAAGAAAGCTGGAAATATCGTACAGAAAAAAAAAAAAAATAGAAAATTAGCAAAAACTGAGATTAAAAAAAACTCCAGCATGACAGTTTAGAACCATATAACTGTTATATCTTAATTGCTCTTTTGGGCACTTTTTGCCAATCTCATGTGCAAGGCTGGCTTGACAGAAAGAATAATGTGAAGTCAAAAGTCCTCATCACATTGCAAGTGAGTAAGGAAACAAAAGGTGATGCTTTAGTTTTAATACTATGGTAATGACTCTGAAAACTAAAGGCGTGGCTGAACATGAAACAAATGTAGTGTATTGATCTGGTGAAAATTATCACACACTTTGTTTAACCTTTCATTTTATGTGTTTTCCTCACATTCCTCCTTTCTGTAAACAGTGCCTTCTGGCTTGTTGTCAGTCTGGTATTCCTTTCCGCTCAGCCCCCAGTTTACTCACAACTCTACGTTCCTGCAGTCCTTCATATTTACACAGCACCCATAGGAAGTGTCTACCTTGGGTAAGACTAAGGCATGCTTTCCTTTTTTTGATTTGACTCAACAATGTGTACTGGGATGCCTTAACTTTATCTAGTTTTGGAACCCGTTTTCATTCCTTTCAAGAGAAGCCCTATGGTCATGGGCCATGACTTCTCTAGTCATTTTATGCTGCAATTTTGATAGACTTTATAATTGAGATTGACTTCATTTTCCTTGACATGAAGATGGTAGACGTATGCTAAAATATATGATAGAATATTAGAACTATTGAATAACAACCCACTTATTAATTTTACACATTTGCCTTCTGTCCAGCCCTTGGAAGAAGTGCTAGATGGATATGAAATGTACAGCAGGCAAAGAGATAAGCAATCTTTCTTACATGTACTTCAATAACAAAACAGGTTGTTTTGATTTTTAAGATGCAAATAAAATAGCGATTAAATTTATTTCCCTTCTTATGGACAATTCTTTTATTAGTTGTTATTTTCTTCTCATGTTCATTGCCTTGGGCTACCAGTCTTCCCAAGTAAATGCCAAACTGGCTTCTGACTCAGACTCTTCACCCCATACTATTGTCCTCTTTCTTTTTTAGTTGTTTGTTTTGACTTCTTACTTCATCCTCCAAGCACCTGACATGGCCAAGTAAGAATATCAGCAATATTCTTAGGAGATTTCTGATTTGATATGAGCATGGTTCCAAATCAAGCTATTCTGTGGGTCACAGAACTTAGCCAAGCTTCTGAAATGGAACTCAAGGGCACATTTATCTGTTTCAAGCTCCTGGACACCAAAGTCCTTGGAGCCAGCAGAGGCTTCAAATGATACCCAGTCTGTGTAATGATTAATCTGAGTGCAAACTTCTTACACAACTCCCACTCCTTTATAATGAATTACGAGGAATAAAATGTGGGCTTTCTTAAATATAGAAAACTCTGTGTCTCAAAACTCAGCATATTCTTTTAGCTCTTCATTCCCCTGCTCTATTCTTTGGCGATACACCTTAGAAGGGGGTTCTATGGCACTGTGGAGGTGCTTTTAGTTAACAGATCAAGCACCTATTTATTTTGTCTTTTTGCTTGCAGAGGGGAAGAGGGAAACAATCCTGTCTAAGATTGAGTAGGGGGACTGCAAAACCTTTGTCAGGTGCATCTCATCTTCATCCTACTGACTCACCCTCCAGGAGGATGAAATCCAATCAACTCCACTCCATTACTCACAGGACGTGTCTGTAATAAAGTCTGTAGCCAGGAAGCTCACTGGATGAAGTACACAGGGTGATAGAATGCGAAGAACAAAGGGACTGTTTCCTAATGACAAGCAGTTCTTTTCTAAGAAATGGAGGAAAGAACACCCAGAAGCAAGCAATCCATTTTTGCTTCCTCCCAAGTGGACTATTACAAGGGAGCAAGGAGACAGAGGAAAGCCTGGTCCTTTACAAATCTACAAAAGCTCATGAGCTGATAATTCAGGGACACACATTCTGCATGGAACTGATCATTTGCAACATTTTAAAATTTTAAAATTGAAAACAAATGGTTTCAACTGTAAAAGCCCCTGCCTTTTAAAATGTTCCTTAGCGTAAAAATAAAGATACCTGCATATTATTTTTTTTTTTTTTTTTTTTTTTTTTTTTTTTTTACTATATGACAATTCCCTTATGACAAGCAAGTAACTTCAAGGATGTGATCGACTATCTTTGAAAAGTTATTGGGAGTTATGCGGTGGAAAGGAAGGAGACTGAGGAATAGAGAGAGTTCTGTGAAGTTAAGGGCTGAAGCTACTGAAACAACATGGAGTAATTTAAGCCAGGGACTCCTGATCTCCTCTTCCTCTTTCCTCTCTATATTCAACCTAGTGACGTCTTTATTTATAGAATATATCAGGCAATGGGGTGTTTATTTTAGGTAGTGTAAGTTCCTTATTTGTGTCAGTTCTACTGTCTCTATGAGAGAACAAAAATGAGAAAAATGCCTTCGCTCCACAAATCTCAGTATACAGAGTCGACACTGTGGGATGCAGCGAGGGCTAGTGAAGGCATTGCACATCGCCGCCCTCGTCCTTAAACGGATGCTGCTTACACCTCTGGGAAAGCAGAATTCTACTTCTTGGTTAATCAGCCACTAGGAAAACCAACCCTGGGAACACCAGACGCATCTGGAAAAGTCACAAATTCGTATATTCCGAAGTCACCCAGAGCATCTTCATGGCCTGAAAGGAAAAATGACGATATTTACAGAAGCAATGCTCTCCTCTGATATTTAAAGATTCGTGCATTTATTTTTGTTTATTAGGAATACCCAAGGAACTTATCTTTACTGTCTGCTTTAAGTGGTATTTGCATGAAACCATTTAATATTTCCTAGTGTCATATGGTCACTATGAATGGTTTTGGGAGTAAGTCCTTCTCAAGAGGAAAAATGTAACTGAACTTGACTAACTATTCTCAAGGTCTGATGTGGGAATATTGTAGTTCATCTCAAACACATCACATATTTGGGAAAGATTAGGGATTTAAGTACACAAGTTTTAGCCTAGAGGTCACAGCACTCTTTGACCCACTCATAATATCTACCGTGCCTTGATAGATCTGACAGAGAACATTAGAAAAGAATGATTAATAACAGTAGCTACACAGGCACCTTAAACCTGCTGCAGCACAATAGGGACATTACCCAAACTTTATCTTGGAAATAAAGAGGGTGGAGGTGGTTGGGAGGAGCCAGATGGTCTTGGAACCCTTCCCCTCTGTGACATCCAATTACGTAGAGAACAAAGATTAGATGAAAGGAAGAGCCATTTTTCGTTTTCATTAAGAGTCACATTGGGCTGTTCACATAGTTTTAATTCTCATAGCAGCCCCAGGAGGAAGCTTTTTTTTTTTTTTTTTTTTTTTTTTTTTAATCCCTGTTATATAGATTTGAGACCAAGAATAATAATTTTCCCAAGGGGAATGTCGCAGATATGGGACAGAAACCTGTCTGTCGGTGACACCATCATCCCAGCATAAGTTCCAGGGTTAACTTAGAACAACTCAGTACGGATTCAACAGGGAAGGTAGTGAGGGTTGTGTGGAGACAAAGGAGCAGCCCTGCCCCTGATTACACCTCCATTTCTTCCTGTCCTTAGGACGGGGCTGCCAGAATCGTATATGCTCCAGAAACTACAGAGGCTCCCTTTGCTCTCACACACTAATGAGGAGAGGCTAACAGTGAGAAAGGAGGAGAACTCACCTCCATCCCTCCAATCGTTAGTTGCCTTGTCTGTATTTGGAGTTGAGAGTCTTTCCCTAGCTTAACCTACAGAGCTGTGTGGCTCACATAAAACCACCACAGAGGCAGCACTTTGTAAAGGGAAGACACTGAACAATGTTGGGGTTGGGACTGGGCTCACATCGGCTTCTATTCATTTTATTACATCGACAGTGACATCTGCAAATATCCCCAGTAAACACAAATGATTAGTTATTATACATCACTATGGATAACACTCCTTTCTTGCCCGCCCATTACCTGAAAATGTTTGAGCTTTTCTGTACACGGACTCTGGTCTGAAAAGACAAAAGATGTATTAATCAAGAATTATAATTGAGGGAAAAATTTTAAGTTATTTACACAAAAAACATATACATTACCGGCCTTTTAGCTTCTTCCTTATAACTAAAAACAAAAGAGAGGAGGAAACACAGTAAGGTATTTTTTGGTGGGGGAGAATGTTTCTAAAATGTATTGGTTTTTTTTCTAATGTAAACCTACCTTTGCAAGGTTGATATTTTTTCCACAGAAAAATAAGAGACATGGATATAATCAAAAACAGCGATATTCCAGTTATACTTGCTAATGGGGACAGTGATTTTCCTTTTTGTGCAAGCTTCTCCAGTCCTAAAAAAAAAATTAGCAATACCTTACTATATATTCTGAAATGCTTATGACTATTCTCCACTAAATAGGACACGATTGCCTGCCCTCCTTCCTCTCCCCAAATGGATGGGATACAGTGATTTAAGACTTAATTTCCAAACTCCTTGGGGACACACTGACATGATGTTGGTCATAGAGAATTGTTGCTGCCACACTTTTCACTTGAGTTTGCCACCGTCTTGTCTCAGCTCATTGTCTCTGCACTCTCAGATGCAGGGTGTGCAGGATGATGGTCGCTGTCTTCATTCTTGCTGTTTTAGTGTGATTCAGGGGTGGGTATCTTTCCAGGGGCATGGTGGCATGTATTTAAGGATGTGAGAAGAAGGGTGTTTATTTCAAATACACTCTACTACTTTTTTTTTAAACCAATCAAGAAATGCCCATTTCCCAAATAGCATGTACATGCAATTTTCAATAAAATATTTGAAGTCAGGCCTGCCAGATGGCTTGGCTCAGCCAGTAAAAGTACTCAGTCTAGACTTGGAGATCTATCTGGGATTGACACTGGAATCCACTGCGGAAGGAGAAAATTGTCTTCCAAAAATCATTTTTTGATTTCTACATGTTCACTGTGGAACATGTGCAGTGCCACACACCCAGGCAAGTGCACTCATGCACACACACACACACACACACACACACACACACACACACACACACACCAATAAATTAAAAATTTTAAATGTAAAATCCCATCTTGCAATTAAAAGTACTTTGTTTTGTAGGCCATTCCTTTTATTACTAGAACTGTCTTAAGAATGGTGCTCATAGCTCTAATACACATGCTGAGGGCTTACAATATACCAAGCTCTGAGCTCAGGATGCAGGATCCACAGTAACTGCTGAGTTGCCTTGGCGATCTTATTAGAGAGCAATTATTATCTCTTCTGGATGAGGAAGCCGAGCCTTGCAAAGGTCACTTAGGTTATAATGGTGGTAGTAAAACCAGTCTTCTACTATTTCATTCTTCCTCTTCCAATGCTGTTTGACACAGCTTATTGAGGGTGGTTATGTTAATACCAGCTGCACGCTATGATATGTTTAGTCATATATTAACCTGTGTAGGAGGAAGTAGTTGTGACCTTTAACAAGCAGCTCTGATATTCATGGAAATGAGTCATGGCAGTTGCCTATCTACCCAGACTGATGTGGGCTAAATTCATGTAATGCCACTTTCATTTCACACATAACCTGAGAATCTGGGTGTGATGAGGAACAGCGTCTACTCAGTTCTGCAGTAAATGCTGAGCTAGCCTCCTTTTCTTCTCCGTTCATGAAGGTTCTGTTAGGATCTCCAGGAGTTAAAGTGAGTGGGAGCCCTTAGTCATCCCTGTCTCCCAATATGGGGCTATCTAAAATCCACTTGGTTTCCCCTGTAGAACACGATCACTTAAAAAATATCTAATCTTTTCTACTGTAGCATAGCTGGTAAATACCGAACTGTAGTAGACAGGTTACGGAAACCATGCCTTCCCTTCAGTTTGACCATACACTGCTGTTTTCATATGCTCTTTACGTCTGAGAGACAAGGATAGCTTCTGCTATGAAAAATTCTGTGCTGTTCTGTGGTCACTGTGATCTTTTTAATGCTCCAGCAATGTTTATATTAATATCCTGCTTGTTCATCAGTGATGCAAGCAATTTTTCTGCTGAATTGGGTTTTAATCAAATATTCATCTGAAGTCTAATTTTGTCACATCATGGTTGAATGTCACCATAGGTTAACTCTCCTGTGTCGAAGCATTCTATTGAAAGGGACACTCTCCCTCTGGGAGACGTGTTTCCTCTAGGCTAGTACCAAGGCCCTAACTTTGTCTTGACACCCTGGGAAAATTCCAATTAAAATTTATTATTATTATTATTATTATTATTTTGTGTGTATTCCACTTCTGTGCAAGGGTCTATGGAGGCCAATGAAAGGCGTCAAATCCCCTGGAGTTGGAGTTACAGGCAGTTGTGAGCTTTCTGATCTGAATCTGGGCCCTTTGTTAGAGCAGCAAGTGTTTTTAATATCTGAGTTGTCTCCATAGCCCCAGGAAGTTTCAAGCTTTAATATCAACTTTAGATACTTCAGCTCTTTCACCTCACACTAGCCATATGATTAAAATTTGGAACCTCTAAACATAATCAAGTGCTAATTTATTTCATTATGCAGAAAACCATTTTAGTATAGTCTTGGCTGTTTTTATTTTTTTTCCTTAAAATTAAAAGTATGCCAGTGATGACTGTTTCCGACCACTCTTGATTCACTCTGGCATCCATCATTTGCCAGGTACTTCTATGATTCTTAAACCTAGCAACAGGTTTAACACAAATTAATTTGCTGTATTACCCCAAGACACAAAGGACACATTTCCCTGTCCTTCATTTCTCATTTTTCCTTTCTTTGACAAGTAATCAAATTTGTAGATTCTCTTCTACACAGAGTCACAACCTTCTCATTTCTCATTCTTCCCTGTGTTCTTAGACTTCTTCCTTACTGGCCTCTCACTGCCTCCAGTTGGCTCCTATTGGTCTACAATCAGAGACCCACCTGTCCCTTGCTGTGATCAGTTCCTGTCAGTCTAAAAGCCTGGCTTTAGTGAAGGTCAGCATCCTCTCCACTGAGAGGAGGATGCAAATGGCTCTTTTCTGAAAACAAATGACTTTTCTTGGCTTTCTCATCTAGAGGACCATGGGTCTCTACCTCCCTCATCTAGAGGGTCTCTGCTCTTATCCCTGTTTGTCTATCTAGAACACACATTCAAGGGCACTGTTGCTGTGGTTTTTATCCCTAGACAAGTGTGTTTTTGGATAGACGAGCTTCTGGAACTCTGTCTTGAAGATATGACAATAGACAAATTCCAGTCTTATTGCTCAGAGAATATACTGGGACCTGTAAGGCAGGTCTGGGAATTTGGAGGAGCTCCCTTCTCTCTCCTTTCAGAGTTTATGTTATTCATTTGGACATAGCATGCCATCCTTCCCACAATTTAAACACGGTCGACTCATTTACCAAAGCCAGAGTGGAAATGATATTTGCCCCCTCCTTAAGCAAACAAATAAAATGGAATAACATGTTAAGTGTAAATATAGGCAAGAGGTGTGGTATCCATGGTATCACTACCCTGTTATTTGAGATTGCACCCCACACAGGACAGCCATATGCTACATAGGTAGTGCATCTATTTCTAGATGAGAATGCTGCCCTGAGAACTCTTTTCATCCAATCTGTTCACTAATTATAGCAGCTGCCTCATGTCCCAATGGAAATGAATATGTCATACTCTGGGCTGTGTTACCTTCACACTCCTTCACACACCCACTTGACAGACACAGATCCTCTGTGGTAGGTTCTCAAGCATTTGTCATTAAAAGTCTCAGGATCCAGATGTCAAGGTTAAGGTTGTATCTCAATCTGTATCTTAAATGACCCAAAGTTGAGAAACTGGTAGCTAACTATGGAAGATTAATCCATTTCTCTTCCTAGATAATGTTCTTTCCTACTTTCTAATGAAATGATTTGGTTTATAATTTTGGAATGATTGATTTTATCCACATTACTTATAAATCTAAAACACATCTATTATAGATACCTCTTAAACCACGTCCACATGTCTTCAGGGACTTGAATATTTTCATTAAATACAAACGTTTGAATTCTAAGCATTCCTCTGTGTGTGTGTGTGTGTTCTCACAGTAGTAATTTAGAGTCAGTTAATACTTTAAAATATGGATATCTGTATTCAAAGAAGTCCTTAATTAGGTGGTAAAATCATTAGTTTCAAATATAAATGCTAATTTATTCTTTTAATGCCTATCATTTCCTTGAAACAACTAGACATTACTTTAGCTATAGATATTTTATTGTTTCTCATAAGTATGAAAGAGCATATCTTGTGGACAAAGTATTTGTATATTCATACATTAAATTAGTAGAGAAATTATTCAAAGAAAACTTCTTTGAATACAGATATCCATATTTCAAAGTATTTACTTAACCTAAATCACTAGTATTTTAAAGAATTTACTGAACCTAAATCACTATCATTAGATGCAATATCTATACACTGCTTCATTCTTCAGAACCTATACATATTGATTAAAGGGACAATATTCACATCAATAGCTTAGTGACCTAAGAAGAATAGAATTTTTTAAGATTGTTAAAAAGAAAGGATTTGAATTCAGATGCTATTTTGTCACACATTTGCTGTGTAACTCTTCCAATTGCCTCTGTTTTCTTTAGATATCTCCACTGAGTTACAGAAAGGTCAATTAATAATGTCTCAAATTAGATGTGAATCTAATTCCCACGGAGGTGGAAGTTCCCATCTGTCTAGCTTCACACAAGTTGAAGACAGAGAGCTAATTGTCACATTCTCTAACTTTCCTCTCCTTAACTGAAAGTAGCCAATAAAACTTTTGATTATTTCCTGGCCTTGTTATTTTCTTTCTGTGTCTGTGACCCTGGAGTCAACTTTGACTCCATTTCCTTTTCCCCTCTACATCTTATTGCTGAGGCTTCAAAGCAGTTACATAGTTTTGCCTCATTAAAAATAAAGAGGCCTCTGGTGACACAAAACTTCATCTTGGTTCTAGAAATATCTTAATCACAATTATCTCATCCTAACAAACAATTTCAAATTCCCTACAAGCCTTAACACATCTTGTTTGTCAGAATGAATTTTCTACAAGTGTTCATATGATCGTGTAAGCAATAGTCATGTGTGTCAGTTCGTGTGTGCTTAGTGTGTTGCAGAAATTCATTCATTTTGGAACAGAAATATTGAGCACAACATATCACATCCACACTAGTAATTTCTTCTTCTTTTTACTATTGTTGGACTCAAAGCTCTGTGAACATTGAAGATTGGAAAACAGCTATGAAAAACCACAATGAGGCCACGAATGTTGACAGTCCTGGATCACTCTGGAAAATGAGCACCTGTTCTCCTTATTTACTACAATAATAAATGCCAGTCTTTGTACAGGTCAAACAGGTTTTTGAAACTTCATTAAAGACAATCATCTGACATGAAGACTGTGGCTGTTTTTGGTAATAAGATCTTAGTCAAGTACTAGGGGCTTCTGATATTATGAATACTTACTGATTTGAGTATTAATGCAGAAAGTTTAAGAGGTGGTTAAGTTTCCACTGCAATATAGTACTACATATTATATCTACTATATTTTCACTTTCAATGGGCATAAATAACAAGTCTAACATGATTCAACTATCCCATCAAACAATCCCATATATGCTTTGGTACACACACACACACACACACACACACACACACACACACACACACTCATGCACACACCTTGTTCTAAACTAAATTTCAGTTGGCTACATGGTGAAAAGCTTGTTGACCCTATAAAACATAGTAAGTTATAAGGCAAAAGATGTTTTTTAGTTGTCTGTATGTTTGACATATTACATTTTGATCAGGGATTATTATCAGGGGTTGTTTGATTCTCAGTGCCTTATCTCTTATAATAGGTACCAAATAATGGATGAATGAGTGCTAATTTTAATTATTTTTGAACACATGTGCTTTGGAGGGTCTACAAAGAAAATATATTACCCTTTGCTGCCCCAATGAGGCTCAATTTAAGTAAGAATTTCGTAGCTTTATTCTCTAATACACCAGGTACTAGAAAGATGTAGTTATGTACAATTTAAATCCAAATGAAGAAAGATGAAATAAAATTAAACCTTTTAATCCTTAGTTGCTCAGCTGTGTTTGAGTTACTAAAAGGTTATAGCAGGGTTAGTGGCCGCCATATTGAAAGTGAATGCATTGACAATTACTGAAATGTTAAGCAGGGTTGGCAGCCGCCATATTGAAAGTGATGACATTGACAGTTTCTTCCTTGCACAAGATCTAAGAGCAACAATACTTTTGGCAGTATTATCTTCATCATAAAACATCCATATAAAGACAGCATATGCACTGCAATACATTTGATGTTAAAAATACGAATATCTTAAATCTCAAATAGTTCTAAGAGAACACACATTTCTTCATCAACCTGTAGGCTTCGTACACTTTGATAAGTCTTTGTGACTCTCTAAGCTGTTTTTAAAGAATTAAAAATTCACTAGAGGGGCAAAAACCTTATAGAAGTAGTTGTCACACTTGAACTAAATATTATTTGAGTTCAAACATAGTAGCTGGATCTCCTGAGCCAGCACACCTGGGGTGTCTTAAAAAACTGTTTGTTGTCTATTTGAGACAAGATCATGCTATGTACTCCATGCTGGCCTTGAAACTGAAAGAGGATTCCTCCTGCCTCAGCCACCTGAGAAGCTACATTTTAAAAAGCAAACTGCCTAGATGATTCTGATGCAAGCAGCTAAACGGCTGTAGATGGCATGTTTTGGTCTAAGGATTAAATAATACCTGTGTAAATAGGTATTTTTTTACTCTTGCTTCCTTTGTTGAACACAATATACTGAGCTTCTCTGTGTTCCCTGTCTTATTTTAGGCACCAGGGATACTGATATGGAACAGAAGGCATCGTGGATTCATGGTTATTAGGTTTTGTAACTTGTTCCTTCACTGATGAAATCATCTAAGTCATTGTTTTTTATTCAGACCTGTAGGTTTTTCCTCAAGTTGGAACTGGTTTGTCTTTTTTTGTATGCAAGAATACTGAACATAATAGAGAAAAGAATAATGGAAGATTAAAAGTAAGAATGGGTGAAAGAGGAAAAGGAAGAAGGGCAATAAAAAGGAAGGCAAAGTCTATTTGGGAGGTAGAAACATAGGCTAGACAGAACTTGGTGGCTGAGTGTTGTCTAGGGCACAAATAGCAGGAAGGATTTGAGGTGACATTTAGTTTTCTGCTAAGCTGGTAAATTATAGGGAAATTCACTTAAAAAGTGGGTTGTACAGGCAGAACAGGTATGGAGGAATAAGAAAAAAGGGCTCAGTCCTAATACTTCAGGCTGACATTCTGCGTTTAGAACCTCTGAAAGAGGTGTATGGAAGGCAGATGAGGATACAGCCTTAAAGCTTTGAAGATAAACATGTAAGGTGGCCAGTGTTACAAGACAATGTGGGAATGAATAAAATGGAATGGAAATCATACCATGGAACAGAGCCATGCTTCACAGGGAAGCTTGTGGGATGGGAGTTTGCTACATGTCCCTAACAAGCTGCGACTTTGGACACAGAATGTCTAAGACGCAACTTCTAGAGGATGCCGAATTTTATAGACTTGTGAAAGTTTGTTTCCAAGCGGATAAGGCTCTTGATAAATATTTCTGTTGATCTCAGGTATGTCAAGGATGAAAAACAGAAGAGGAGCCAGTGAAGACCAAAAAGCAAGTGGAAAACCATGACCCCAACTCACCTGTATTTGTTCTTCTAACCTAACATAACAGCACACATAAACTCTTTTCTGAGAAGTCTATCACTTTTATGTTTCTGCTTGCAAAGTCAGGAAGGCAATAACACACATTTACAAGTAATTTGATGACTACTCATAGCCCTTAAAGCTGGCTTTTGAATTTCCCTCCATTTTGTTTTTGAGTTTTTACTTTTTGAGCCCCCAAATCCATGGTTTACTTAACTGAGAAAAGAGACCATTCAAACAACAGCAAAATTATGTTCTCTTCTCCACAGACATCTGGGAAGTCGAGGCCAGCTTGCCTTTATGTTTTATAAAGTTTTGGTCTTTGCCACACTTACCTACAGAAGTGACGATGACAGTGAAACGGGTTTCATCTCGCCTTCCCGTTATGTTGTTGTAAGCACAGCACATGTAGTCAGTGGTCTTCTGGGCCACTTTCTCAGATGCAACTTCTAAACGAGGCCCATGTTTAATGACGTATGTCGTGTTGTCAGATCTTCGGATCCAGGAGTAAGTGTTGGGTGGATAAGAATCAGCAGAACAGTCAAACAGGATGGCTTCTCCTAGGTCCACAGTGAACACTTCTCCCACTTTTAGCCCCTTGTCAGAATTAACTTGAAGTCCATAAGGTCCATCTGTATTAAAGCAAAAAAGAGATGGAGGGCTGTGTGATGTAAACAGTCACACAGTTTCAGGGCTTGAAGGACTTAGTGTCAGTTTACTCTCGTTGAAAGTCTTCACTTGAGACAATAGGCCCTTGTTTAAACCCCCCAATTAGATCTCTTGATCTCTGTTTTATTCTGATAATCACAAAATGGGAAATACTTGATTGGGCATACTTGTAATAGTTAAAGGCTGAAACTTGCGTTTGCAGATTTACAGATACTGCCATCATCAGTGTTGGGCTAAGCTTTCAAGTGCCATATTGATAAATGCACACTGTTGCTATGCAATCTCTATCTCTATTTTGAGGGTACCCTCAAAAATACTTTTTACAACATATAGGTACTATTTTCTCCTTGGCAAGCTTACTTTGAGAAGTGTCTGTTTTTTCCATTTAATGACAGGTCATGCAAATATTTATCAAAGACACAGAGTTTCAGAAGGAACATAGATTTGTACAAATAGGTAGAGAGGTGTTTCAGATTTTCTTACAATTTTAATAGGTTAAAAAATCCTTCTAAGCTACAGATTCCATTTGGAACACACACACACACACACACACACACTCACATACACACTCAATGACACTTTATTGAAAAATTAAAAAGCTGTTTAACCATGGCTATTTGACTGTGTTTTCCCACACTCCACACCTATGACAATCCCTACGGCATTAGACCAGATGAAGATACATTCTGTATGGTTTCTTGTAGAGAATAAAAATTAATAAAAACATTTTCCAGATACAAAGTTTCTACTCTGTATGTAATGTAATGTAATTATAAAGATTATAGTATATTTAGAATGCAAGAGACATAAATAATTTGTATTTTTAAGGAATTACCAACTAGATGAAGTACTCAGTATTTTCATTTTCTTTTTAAAAACTGCCAATAACTGTCTCTAAAATATGTAATCATGTGATATAAGGACTAGATTTTAGGGCAACATTTTTCTCAATCATGAATTAAGTGTTCTTTGGAAGTTATTTATACTTTTGGGATATATTCATCTTTTAATATAAAAATATGGATTAGCTAACTGCCAAAGTTATCTATGTATTTGAAATTGTGGCAAGAATTTTATGATGCACTCTAGCATTTGGGGCTATTGGCAAAACCACTCTTTTTTAAGTTTGTAGATCCTCAGAGTGATTCTTCATTTTGACGTCATTTGCTGATCCATCTACCATTGTGAAGACAAGTTTCATGAGATATAACAGAAATTGGAAACACTACTTTATAGATAATATAGATTATATTTTAGTTGTGCAGCATGTTTTCTTTCTGAAGACACAGGGAAATGTTAAATGTCCCCACAGTGTTATGTCACTATGGTTATACCAGTAAATCTACTATTGGAAAAAAAAAGCCGAAGCTTAGTCTTTGTTATCCTGAGCAGTTAGTTACAAGACACACTCTGGAAATACATATCTGTGAATGCTCAAGTCCTCTATAGAAGATGGTGTACTAATTGTATACTATTTACATATACATAGAGCCCCCTGGAAATTCTTGCATGCTTAGATTACCTATAAAACAGAATACAATGTAAATGTTCTATAGACAGTTGTTATACTTCATTCTCTAGGAGATGATGTGAATAAAAATTTTTGTGTGTTCAGTACAGGAGCAATTTTTTTTAATATTTCAATTTGACTTTGGCTGGATCTGATGATGTAAAATGCATAGGCAGGGAGTGCTGGCTTGTTTCAGAGTTAAAGCAACCAGGCGATGGAGATAGATGGTGATAATGAGGAAGCCTGGGCGCCCTTTTCTGTGAGTCACCTAGGGCTTGCCACACTGCTCTCTCCTTTCAGGCTATGATGCAGTCTCAGGAGGAGGGGCTAAGAACAGTGATGCTCTGCTGGGGAGTGAACAGCAGGAACAAAAAGTTGCTTTTACTGATACAGAAAAAACAAAACAAAACAAAAAAAAAAACAACATCAAGGTGTACCGATGCATGATACTGTTCTAGGCATCATGGGAGGAACTGGGATGTCGGAAAAAAAATGGCTTTCCAAGTCTGTCTTCTGCTTTGTGCTGCAGCAGGGGATCATCTCCCTTCAGGCTGCTGGCACTGATGAGACTTAAGACAGCATAGCCAGGGGCCACTACTGTTTCACTTGAAGAAAAGCAATAGAGGGAATGGTGCGTGGATTGAAAGCATTGCGGGATCTATGCTTGTGTGCATGACGTAAGAGAGCCGTTTTAGAGCTGAGCGACATGAGAGTGATCATAAAAATAGGGTCTGTCTGTTTTGATCTTCCTACTGGCTTCCAGAATGTGCCCACAAAAGCAAGTTGTTGCACACTCTCACATGGGAAAGATAGTGGTGCCGATCTTCTTCACAGCTCCGGGAGGAACTCTCTCTTGGAATTGTCTTAAGGTTTTGCAATGTATTTGAGTGTTCCCACAGATAGCATTTCTCTGATCTTGGAGCGTAGGTTGATGCTATAGAGGAAATCCATAATTAGAGCCATAGTTGGTAAGTCAATAATTTAATAAAATAACTAGTTTTAAATAAAGCATACTTGGGAAGACAAGGATCTGACTATGTAGAGTTCGCCTCTCCTCAGGTCTGTTGATTTTTGATACTTCCTTATTTGTTGGATTTCATGGTTGGCATCATTTTTTCTCTTACATATGCCTTCACTGGCTCCTCATAGTCAGTTTCACATCTCAGCCCTCTACACACCGTAGCTGCCAAGCATTTCTTCCAATTCCCATAAACTAATACTTCGAGGCATTTGACTTCATTACTTCTGATACAATTTTATAAAATTTATGTTTTGTCTGATTATATGATATGAAATGCATGTTCAGTGCAAAAATCATAGAGAAGCATACCAATGAAAGTTATCTCTTTTATTTTTAATTTTTATTTAATGCCATTGGCACTTGGCCTGCGTTTTATGTCTATATGAGGGTATCAAATCACTCGAGGTTGGATTACAGGCAGTTATGAGCTGCCATGTGAGTGCTTGGAATTGAACCCAGGTCCTCTGAAAGAGCAGCCAGTGCTCTTAAACACTGAGCCATCTCTCCACCCCTAAAAGATTATCTTTATTTTCAACCTCCTCTCTTTTCCTACTTTTGTTCCTTCCTCACCCCTTTTCCTGTTCCTGTGTTTGGGGATGAGTCTGTCTCCTTCTTATATACATAAACATGCAGGCACACACAACTTCATCTTACACTGTAAACAGTTTACATTCACCTCTCGTCTGACTCTATGAAGATGTTTTCTCTACACTGGTTATCGCTTCAGCACTTCAAAGTGAACATTCTTCTATTTTGAGGTAGAATACAGACACATTATTCAATGAAGGGGCAGCCCTGTAGGAGACATTTGGAGTGGCTGAACTAGAGCGGCCTTTGATACAGATAAAAGCAGATGGATAACTCCATTTGGCTTTGGATTATGGTTCACCGTCTTGCCTTTGGCAGAACACTCTCAATGGAAATGAACTCTTTGCCTTAGGGATGGCTGTTTACTAAATGACTTGTAAAATCACATATCATCTGTTCTCTTTAACAATTTATGACTGGGTGGGAGCAGTACCTAAGTTTCCATCATGCTGCTGCTTGCCACCCTGCAAGGAAGCAGATGGTAAGTATTTACTGTAAATGACCTCTTTTCCCTTTAATTTTTATCACTTAGAGTACTCCCCGCAGCAGTACCATGTGTTTCACACAAAAAGTGGTGGTTATTGGGTTATTATTTACAGTTGGAACTAGAAGGCATTTACATTTTGCAGACCATTAGTAGGTATTTGTTGACTTTTTACTTGACATTGTATTCCATGATGTATTATGATATCATGACTGAATGAACATACAATCAATCTGAATAGGTTCTGTTATGACTTTTCTAGCAATCAAAAATGTTCTGCTTTGCATGAAGAAAATGTCATGGAAACAATGAAAGCAGAATAGATGATTCATGATGGAATTCTAAATCATGATGTGGATATCTATAGGAGAACATTAGAACTGGTGGTCTTTGATTATTGATTTTTGTATGACCACAGAGCCACGCAGTAAAAGTGGGATCTGAAGCATGATATGAACAAAATAGTTTATTCCATGTTAGTCAGGTTAAACTGAGTTACTAATGATGTCAAGTATTACCCTATAAAACTAAAGATGCTTGAGCCATGTGGAGCTCCTAGGAGAGTTGTTGTACCGGAATGGAGAACAGTCAAGGAGGAGATACTGTAGTGAGGATCAGAGACAGACATGTACAGGATGCTGTGTTTGCACAGAGAATTGAATTTCTTTGTGACACTGAAGAGGTGATAACAGGCCAGGACAGATGGGCTTTTCAGTAGGAGATAATGAAGGAAGAGGAGTAATTACATATGAATGGAACATTGGGGAGTAGCATCAAACAAGGGAAATATTCCTAGTATACGTGGAATGAGAAAATTGCAAACACCTTGATGCTGCATCCATAGGAAATCAGTGACAAACCCTTATGCATGTTATGTAAACCTTGTCACCTGAAACCAAGAAAACAAAGCAAAACAAAAACAAGTAATAAATTAGGGCGGATGTCCCGGTAGCAAAAGAAACTAATAATGCATCTAGGTTGTGCTTCTAGATCATAAGGTAGATAATTGCTGAGACAAGAAAACCTTGGGGGTATGTCTTACTTCTGATTCAGTTTGTTCATATTTTCTTTTCCCTTGTTTTCACAGCTCATACATTTATGCTAATTGTATTTGATTAAAGTTTTAACTCGTGTCATAGTAACTTGCTTAGTAAAGAAAGGCAGTATAAATCCACCGCACTGTTTCAGATTCTTCCCTACAATTCTATAGCAGTCATGCAGCATTGCTGTCGCTCACACTTTCTCTGTGAATGTGTTGCCTCTGCTTTAGAAGTGGACAGAATATTCTCACAAGGCTACCCGAAAAGACTTTTTAAAACCTTTAAAATATGGCTATGAATTAAGCCTTAAACATTATTTGCCACTATTAAATACAAATCATGCACTGTGGCTCATGCCTGTAGTCTCAGTACACGGGAGGCTGACCTTCACCTCGAGCCCGGGCTACATATTAAATACCGGGCCAGCCTTGGATGTAGAACTGCACGTTGTCTCTAAAACAGATGAGCAAACAAACAAAACAAACCATGATTTGCCTCAGCCCTTGAAAAACATGTTTACTTCCTCTTTGTGTTTGGTCTCTTGTTGCCATCTGGGCATGTGATGATTTTCCAGACCTTTCACTTGCTCAGCCATGCTCATAGTTACACGTTCACTCAAATGTCACTTTAGGAAAGGAGGCTTCTCTTCAGTAAGAAGCAGTGTTTCCTGTCTTTGAATTTAGTTAGTGCTGGTATGCACTGATGGAGAACAGGGACACTTCTGAGTACCCTAAATTGTCCAGGACAGTCCCACTGCAGAGTTATCCGGTCTCCAAATTTCCCTATTCTAAAAACTTAACAAACCCCATGCTATACTAAACTTTCCACATAACATTAAGCATATTTGATGGTAGGTGAGGTGACTCAGTGGGTAAAGAGATTTCTTTCAAGCCTGACAATTTGATTTTCCTCCCTGAGGAGAGAAATGATTCTTGAAGGTTGTCCTCTGACTTCCACAGACATGCTGTAGCAATGTGCACACCTACACCTACACACACACACATACACACACACACACACACACACACAGAGAGAGAGAATTTAAATAAATAAATAAATAAATCAAATTTAATCAGAGGTAGGTTCTGTAGTGACTAGAAAAATAATAGAATAAGGAAAAGGAGAGACCTTGGTGATGGCAACATGATACAAACTGAAGAATTCAATACATTTTATTTGTACATGAGATTCAATGTCAACAATGAAAGTAATTACTGATTTTCTTGGGAAATTACTTGAGATTTCTCAGAGTGGATTCCTTTTGAACCCTTCTTTCAGAAATCGGAGAATCATTTCTTGGCCTTTGGCTAAGACCGTGTAGAAATGGTAGAGAGAAAACGGGTACTCTCCCACGCATGACCCAGGAGTGCTTCTTTTCCGTGTAGTCCACAGAGCACATCCCACTCCCGGGTCCCTATCCTTCCCTTTCCCTTCTGGAAGAAGAATGAATCAGCACCTGTTTGTGGTACTGGATTCTTGGGATTAGGAATTCCACTGCACATGAGATCTCCCAATGGTTAAAATCAACTTGATCTTCAAATAGTAAAGCTGTGTCAGTAGACATATTTCCTGACCAGACAAACTAGGTGACATGACTACAAGTATGGAGCTACAATAATGGTAAACACCAAATGACATAGGTGCTAATATCATTTATGCCTACCCCCGTGAGACCATCCCATAAATATAAACATAAGGGAAAAAGTTACTTACAATATATGGTGGGCATAATGATGTCACTTTCCATCTCACTGACAGGGTTTGAGACAAGGCAACTGTAGTTCCCAATGTCATCCTTTGTCACTGGAGCAATCCAAAGGGTGTTGTTTTGGGGAGAAAGGGAGTGGCTGGAGTTGATGCAAACCGGTTTCCCATTTTTTAGCCACTGGTAAACTAGCCTGGTACCCCCTGCCACCTGGCAGGTCAAGGTAATGTTGCCCACATACTCTACAGCCCCAGAAGCAGGATGGAACTGAACCACTGGTTTCATGACAGGATCTGCAATATCAAGAGACATGGAAATGTTTCTTTTGCATCCACGGAGCTATAGTAAAACTCTAAGAAGCCTTTCCAATTCTGAGTCCCAGGGCAACAATTCCAACATTTTAATATTTTTAAATGTAGATAGCTTGTATAACAGTTAAAAAGGATCTTAAAAAGTCACAGAAATTTAAAAATGGAAAAATGTGAAATATATCTATACAGGTAGAGCTAATCAAATTCTAGAACTTGAATTCAAGAATTGACAATCTCTTTACTTTTATACAGTTAGTAGTTGGAAGGCCAGAATTTCACTTTCTTATTCATCATGCTTTCTCTACCCTCATAGTGCTCTCTCTCTCTCTCTCTCTCTCTCTCTCTGAACTTAAGAGCTCATACAAGTTAGGAGGAAAGTTAGGAAGATGCTTATCTGCCATGAAAGTACACTCTCATAGTTAAAATGTATATAATTATTTCCCTTTCTTGACTTCTAATGTACCAAAAGCACCTGACAATAAGGGACATGGTAACCTCAAATTTTTATCCACCATCTGGAAACTAAATTATACAGTTCATGTATAGTATACTTTTGAAAACATGTGGAGTATTTTTGGAGAATGGCACATACATATTTCATTAACAAACTAAAGTCTACATTTCATTCAACACTGAATCAGTTTGACAGTAGTATATGATATATTGCTGAGATTTTATTAAATTTGAAATATAAAAGGCAAACCCAATAGAAATTCCTGTTAGAAGTGATGAGAAGCATGCTTTATTTTATAACTGTAGCACTCAGTAGGCAAATGAATAAACATCGAAGAACACAAATATTTCTTCACTTTTAGCCCTATGTATGTGGTTGGTAATTGCATATGCATTCATTATCATTTCAGCAAACATCATCAATCTTCAAAGTTCTTCACCCTGTTTGACAAAAATAGTGACTTGTGGGCCATCGAGATGGCTCAGTGGTAAAGGCACTTGTCAAGCTTGAGTTTGATCTCTAGATCCTACATGGTGGAAGCAAATTGTTTTCTATTTTCTGACTTCTACATGTGCTCTGAGGCTTGTTCATGAGTGTGCATGTATGTATGTGTGTGTGTGCATGTACACATGCGTGCGTGAGCACGTGCGCTCACACACATACAGATAATAGACATAAGAAAACAGACATAAGACCTTAGAGTTAACAGCCTTCGCTGGCAAAGAGAAGAGGTCTTTACACCTGTCAGTGTATTTTTCTTGCATTTTTGGAGAGATAGACATTACTAGTCTCCATCTCTGTAAGCTCACAGAGCAGAGAGGGACTAATTTTGTAACACATAGGTAGCCTATGACTAGATCCAGTAGGCATTAATTGCCCATCAAGTGTCCAGTTGAATCTTCCTCAGACACATTTATTGTGTATTATCATTACATTTTTCTACAATGGAAACTGCATCAGGGTGCAAACAGACCTCAATCTCCAGCCCAGGGGAGACAGAAACTAATGAAAGATAAGGAAAAACAAGGTTGACGCAACTTGAAGGGGAGCTGAACAACTTGGGAATGTCTAACATTTTTCAAGGTGGATGTCGCCTACTGGTTTGTTCATTTAATTCAATCCTTTGTCTTTCCTGGCAAGAGCAAAGGGTTTGTAATAGCATCTTGTGTATGTTATATTTTCAAAAGAAAAATGAATTGTGTACATTGGTCATATTTAAACACATCCCAGACACCTCTGTATAGGTAACTGAGGAAAGCCAATCACTGGAATAGTCATCCATCCATATCATACACTTGCCCTGGTTTCCCTTTTGAAAAGGTTTTGCTTAGGTTCTTAAAGCCTGCTTACTCCATTTTTTGGTTTCATTTTCCTGAACAAATCCAATGTTCCAATATATAGGTAAGGGCTATCTTATGAAAACTTGTATGAAAAATTGTTGCAGGAGAACTTTATGAAAATTCCTGTTAGTTATATCTTCACTTTCCATACAATCACTTTGCAGACATCTGGTCCCATAGCCATTGTCTTAGTCCCCTGAAGCCTGTTCTATCTCTGGCCTGTCTCCTCACCCCACAGAGGTTACTGAATCTGCTTTGGCCAGCACACATCTGAGCATTGAGAAGAAAGCAGCAAGAACACAAACAAGGCCCCTTTCCCCACAAACTTCATGTTCTGCTCAAGGGAAGAGAAGCAATAAAAGTTAAATACAGATACTATTTACAGCTGATGGTAAGCTCAATAAGCAAAGAGAAGAGCAGAATTGAAGACAATGAACTGTGTGTGTGTGTGTGTGTGTGTGTGTGTGTGTGTGTTTGGGGCTAAGATGAAATTTTCGTATAGAGTGAAGAGAGATCAGAAAAGCCTTCACAGATATGAAAATCAAGATGACACCTAAAAGAAATAAAGGAAGTGGTATTTGGGATAAAAGCTGCCCAGATAGAGTGAAGAGAGGGAATGACCTGAGTTGTGAGTGTTGTTGTCTTGTTGAAAGAAATGCAATGGACCAGTGTAGCCAGAACAGAGAATATAGTGGTCAGAGGTGGAGAATGGGATCAGATGAGTTCTGGGTATGCTGGGTACTTTGACTCCCATTCTGAGTGCTATAGGAAGCTAGAGGATGCAAGAGCAGAAGCAGAGAGGCTTGGGCTGGCAGTTTCCGAGACAACAGAGGCGCGAGCGAGCCAGTGGTAAAGAGTAGGTGAACGCAGCTGGGGTCAATTTTTAAGGTTAGCCTGTGAGGTTTTCTTGCAGACTGGGTGTATGTTATGAGAAAATGGATGGTCAGTGATGTATGGGAAGCCTGGGCCTGAGGCAGTAATAGAATCAGTTTTAATACTTAGCAAAATGAGATATATTGTCAAATAAAGAGGAGACAGAAAAATAAGATATTGAGTCTTGTGTACAGTATGTTCAGAGTATGCCACTTCTAAATTTTAATAATAATAATAAGAAGAAAAAAATGCCTGAAATGTAGCTAACTCCAGTTGCCTCAAACTTCTATTGTCTTTACATAAAGTCCTTGGTTCATCTTCCCTTAAGTGTTGACCCAAATAAAAATCTTCATGTGATTAAAAGTAGGGACCTTAAACCAGAAAATAAAAATCTTCATAGCTCACTCTTTCGGCAGCTTTATCTAAGTCCCAACAAACAGTAAGTTTCTCTTATTGCTTGAAGGTCTGTTGCTGTGCACTGGGCACCTCCCTTATGTACATATCTAATAAAATCTCAGGAATCCTTATGAGGTAAGTAAGTAATGATACTAGGAACACTGAGCATTAATTAATTCACTCAGGGGAAGAGCTAGGACCTTAAAGCCCAGGAAGCTTGGCATTTCTAGCCTCCACTGACTTGATGTAGCCTTCTCTCTACTGTCACAAAGGACTCACCATCAACGGTGACTTGTATCTTCTGACTTGAAGACAGAGTTCCATTTCCCTGGATGTTGACCTTCACAATGTAATTGCCCTCGTCGGAGAACTGCAGCGGATTTATGAGGAGAGATGCATTGGGTGGCATCATGGTGAACTTGTGCTGGTATTCCAAGTCAGGAACCACAGATTCATTCACGGAGCCCAGCAAGTATTTGGGCATTGTGTGGGATCTTTCAAACAGCCATATAATCTGGATGTCAGATGCTGGAGTGTGGAAGCCATAGTGCACGGGGAGGTAGAGGGCCTGTCCCCTGATGCCGTGGACTGTGTGTGAAGGCACGGTCACCTTCAGCCCCGAACAAACACCTGCTATGAAAGAAAAGAAAGCCGTGAGTGCCCAGAGCCACATCTCAGAATACAAAGGTACAGTTGCAGAGAGAACCCAGATGATAATCCCTTTCAAAGAAGAAGGCTTCTCGGTATTGACTATTCTAGTACCAGTACAGGCAGAGGTAAATATTTGTCTTTGAAACCTTCTGCATTTGAAAGACTACTCCCAGTGACTATGCTGGTTGCATGACTTCTCTAAAGACAAGGAAAAAAGGAGAAGCAGAAGTTATTATCTCCTATCACTACAGAAAAACAGAGAAAGAAGAACTGAGAAAGATTATGAGCTCTAAAGTTCAATAAAACCATTAAACACATTTGAAATTAGACTATGTCAATGTCATATCCCGATGAGACCATGCAGTTCCTGAAATATTAAGGATTACTACCCGGCAAGAAATTTCAGCAAAGCTGTCTGAAATAGCTTGATATTCCATTATTCCATTTTTGGAAGTACCCCAACCCCACTCTAAGTCAAAGCCACACCAAACTGAGTAATTGAGTACACATCACAATAAGCTACAGTCAGTGAAAACCAGGCATTCCTTGTCCACCATTGGTTTTTGAGGAACAACAGGGGCAGGCAGACTTGGATGTAACATGCGGAGAAGGAGGAGCTCAGAGAGATATGAGGTCAAAGATAGCCATGACAAATGGGGAAGGATTTTAAGACCATAGAAGTCATGGGCAATTTTATTTTATGTAAAATGAACATGTAACTGGAGATTTGCTATTAGAGGAGAGACATGACTTTTCTAATGATTTATTTGTACCCCACTATCTGGGGTAATAATGGGCTGAAGAGAACAGCAGGAACACCAAAATATCTCAGGAAGTGACTTCAAAAAAGCAGGCAAGGCATACAGGTGTACCGAGCCATGGTGCATTGAGCATCTGAGAAACGGCTGATTCTAAGTAAAATATCAGCTAAGCCATTGCAGGGTGGAATATTTAGTACAACGAGGAGTAAAGAATATCTTCATGTTTTTAACTTACATCATCTGGAAGAATTGTGATGCTACCAGTAGATACATCATGGGGCTGAGACAGGGAACTATTAGTTTTGGAGGTAGGCTGGGTAAATCAGAAGTCAGTTTAGGGCACATTCATTTTTACATGCTCACTAGACATCCGAAAGGCATTGCTGAATGGATATAGTGATCATATGTTCATTATTAAACTCATTGAAGATAGTTTAGGAGAGAATTCGAGGCCTGAACTGATGTGAGGCACGGAGATCTTCTTATACAGCGCTTGTGTTGTTTGGGTCCGTGAACTCACTGCTAGGAATGCATCTTATGCTTGCACATTGCTTCTTAACTTCTGGAACCTGCAGATGTCCACATATATATTTGCAGAGAAAAGTACCTTTCAGGGTACTATATTTTTAGAACTTTAATTGAACACTCTTTGCTTCATTTTTATAAGTGAGTTGTGTTGGTATGAACTCACCATCAGAAGAACATTTGGAATCGTATGATTATGTGTGTAATTTAAATATAGACTATTTTGAACACCAAGAGAAAAAAAACCAATGGCACAGGACCAGTGAGGTAGACTAGCTAGTAAAGTTGCCTGCCACCAAGCCAGTTCAATTCCCAAGACTCATACGGTGGAAAAAGAGAACTAACTCCCTTCATATTGCCCTCTGACCCACTCTCACACTGTAGCAATGAACTTTCACACACAGAGAAACACACACACACACACACACACACACACACACACACACAGAGAGAGAGAGAGAGAGAGAGAGAAATACCAAAACAAAATTTACAAAAAAGTGGTGCCAAAAGTTGAAACAGTAATTAGTAACTACAGATGTTCTGAGTAATCTTGTTGTAAAGGGCACGAGAGGAGTGGGCAGGAGGCTGAGCAGGAATGTAGACTATGAAATTGCATTTGTAGGCACTGGGTGTGACTACATCAGAAATGGAATGGTGAGGCGTAAGAGTGACCAATGCCGGAGCATCGGAGGAGGAGGAGATGGGAATTGGGGCCAACCCGAAGGTCTTTCCATTTCAGTTTTTTTACATACATAGAATGATATTCCTCTTCAATTGCTCCCCATTTTCACTGTTTCCAGGAAGCCTCGTCTAAATCAATTTATAGACAGCCATTGGAACACAGAAAGAAACAGTGCAAAGGTCTGTTTGTCTTTCGTGGTGATTTCCATGGAGAAGTTCAAGCATGTTGCTGCCATCCCATGAGGAATCTCCCTTTCCCAGAGTGGAAAGCTAGATATGCAGTGCAATTGGGCTTCAGGGCTTTTACATGCATTTGGGATAAATACACACTGCACGTTCATTTTAGTTCATCCATGTCAAAAGTATTACAAGGTGCCCGATTTGTTTCTGTATGGAAAAGCATGAGAATGTCAAATTCTGAGTTTTCCTAATCTGAGAGATTAAAAAGAGGAAATTGGGTGCATATCTAAAAAGCAGAGTTGTTTAAAGTACAGGAGTAGTGGATTCTGCAAGGAAATTGTAGGAGGGGGAAAAGGATGATGTACTCAAACTGGTGATGCTAAAGATACGTGAAGCAGAGGCTGAGATGGGAGTAGCTCTAACAGCTAGACATTTACTAAGACATTGGGTGGCAGCCAGAACAGGAGCAGTTCCCTCCTCAGATGTGTGCTTTGTGGACAAATAGGAACGCACCTTTGCAACTTTAATTGAATTTAAGGGAGACAGAGTTCCTTGATAAGCAATAAATAAAATCTAGTTTTTAGCTGATCACTTCTATCCTCAGGTATGCAAAAACACAACTTTCACTGTGTCTATTGTGCCACTATGTTCTTTTTTAAAAATGACTTGACATGTATGAAAATATCTACTAGCCATGTGTCAGGGTTCATGTCTGATCTCAGATTCCCTTGTAACCATGTTCGTCAGTAACTCTTAGATTCATCCCTTGCAAATCTCCCTGAAGTGGGGATGTTAGGGTCATGTGCATTTTCTAAACTTGCAGAGGGGATATTTTATTTGACATTTTCTTAAAGTTGGAACTGTGAAGTTGTAGCAAGGGACACATATTTTTCCTAAAATAGTGTTTAGTCAGAAAGCACAGCCTTGGTAAGCAAGCCATTTTAAGTCCCTGCTCATTGTCTTGTGTGTGAAAAGAGAAATGCTGGCTGATGCCTGCACCTCTCTCTGCTGCGATCGTTCAGGCGCTTGATGACCTGAGGTATTTTCTCAGAGTAGTCACTACTTACATTTCAAGAGGAAAGGTTCAAAGGATTTTTGAAATAGTGAGTCACAGCATTTAGTTCACGTATTAAGTTGTCGATTGCTTATGTTCCCTAACAAACTGGCAATTCTGTTTGTTACCAAGCAATCAAGGGGCTATGGTGGGAATCACACCATCGCCTTGAGAATGCACTGGGAAAGGCTGCATGGCTGCTGACACAAAGAGAGGTGATTGCCTCTGGCCCAGAGCAGCTTTGTCACTGGCTTACTGGTGCATTGAAGGCATTTCCCAGCATAGCCCAGGAGTGCCTGCTAGACCGAGATGGGGGTGGATGACACTTGAGTGTAATTTTAGCTGATGCATTTTTTTTTTCTCACTTGGGAGAGGTTCTTGTTCTTCTGTTTTCCTATAATTTAGTGTGTGTAATTGCAGCTGGAAAGGACTAGTTGAGATCACATTAATATGCTGGAGGAGGTTGCTAGGCACTGCACTATTATGTGGCATCACTGTCCCTAGAATGAAAATGTCACTAACTTTTGAATCTTGATTCGAACGTTGGCTTCTCAACTATGAGAAGGATGATTTAGAGACTTTGTGTAAGTTATGAGGAGAGAATCTTATTTCATAAGACAGTAAGTATAACACAGATGATGCTGCCTGGAGACAAATAAAGCCAGGTGGATCTCTGGAAGGTGGATTACAGTCCGATCTACACAATAAGTTCAAAGCCAGCCAGGGCTACCTAGTGAGACCCTGCCTAAAAAACAACCCCCAGCCCACCTCAACCAAACAAACAACTTTAGTGGAAAAAGTTATTCTGAGACAGGGGTTGCTAAATGTACATCACTAAAATGCCTTTGCTGTCCTGGAACTCAGGGTTTTCCTTCCCAAGCCACATAAAGTAGGGATTAGAGGTGTGCAACACCACAGCAGATGAAAGAAACCAATTTATATGGCATTTACACTCACCATATAAATGGGGAAACCAGTTCCCTGGGCTGTTTAGGAGAATGAACCATATATTAAAGACTTAAACAATATACTGCCAACTATATTTCTGAATGTATTCAAACAAATGAAAATTCATTACCAAGTTTGTGTGGATATTTTTTTTTTTTAAAAAAAACATGTACAGCATCATGAGAGGTAGTGCAGCTATTATGGTAGTTGTTTGCTTACTTATTATTGATTATTATTACTTTATTATTAGAGACTATCTCACTATGAGGGCTTGATTAATATGTAGACCAAGCTTGCTTAGAAATCACAGAGATGTGCTTCTTGCCTATGCTTTCCAATTGCTGGGATTAAAGGCAGGCACCACCATGCCCAATGCCTATATTATTTTTATGGGACAATTTATAAGTAACAAGAGTCAGCAAGTAATGTGTTTCCTAGTATCAGCACCAAACATCTTCCTATCAGGAAAGGCAAGAGTCCACTGAGATGACAAAACCACTGTGAATTTCTGAGATTAAACAGGTAACATTATGTTTCCTGTGATTTCAGAAGCAATCATTCTTTCTATTGAAGTATTTCTTGCTATAAGTGTACCAAATCCATTTCTTCAAACACAGTGGTTTAATACTTTAGAAAAATGAGGTTCACCTGGAGAAAATTTTAATTGCTCTTTTCTAGTTGCATGAGAAAACATAAAGGACTGAAGCTTCCTACAGCCTCTCTCTGTTTGAGCAGATACACTTCAAGAAGGTAAGTGATAGAAATATTAATGGAATTCTTCTTTTGGTGTTCTGAATGGAACATTTTGTTTTTGCTATATTGACAAACACTTCCTGAGTTTAAGAGAGCTGTTAAGACCTTCTGCCTTTTAGGCACTAACAGCAACTGGAGAAAACTTTGAAAATACCACTCATAATCTAGCATCCAAAATTACAGCAATAATTTCACTTTAGAGACTGTAGATATATAACAACAGTGCCTTCAAAAAGTATATAAAGTTAGAATACTTGGAAGTACCCTGTAAAAATTATCCATGTCCCAACAACAGAGGAATCTAGCGAGCAGTTTTATTGTATTGAATACAAACATTTGGTTTTACAAAGTGACCTCTACAGCAGCCCAGAAGAGTTAGTATTTATTTCCCCATGGCCACGCACAGTGTTAGCAAACATAACACAACTATTGTTGACTGAAAATATACTCTTGCATCTTTAGAAAAAAATAAAAATTAGGAATCTGTATTTTTAAAAACATGTTCTAAAGGTACAAAGAAAATCCAGTACTTTAAAAGCAAAAGAATTAGCACATTCCCTGTGTCTTTACCACTCACCACCTTCAGAGAAAGTGAATGTCTGTAAAGAGCAGACTCATGGTCTATAATAATAGCTTTATTTTTGAGCTTGTGATTTCTCCCAAGTATATATCTTAATTTCATTTTAGTCAAATTTCTCAACTGGATTGGTTCCTGAGTTCTTCTTCAGGCCAATTACAAAATCCTGATTTGTGAAAGGCTAGCAGTCCCACTGTTTTGAAAATGAAAAACAAATGAAAAAAAATCAACATTGGATCACTTGACAGGTAAGGATGATGTTGAAATTATTTTATATCAATTTATATTTATATGATTTTATAACAATTTTAAAACATAGAACACATTTCAGGGTTAAATTTGATAATATGACCACATAGTAATTGAGATGACCATAGTTTTGGGGGAACAGACCCTTCAAAATTTACAGATGACAATTTTATGTCAATGAGATTTATATGTTACACACAATGTGAATAATAGCTATAATTATAATGAAAATTAGCAAAATATGTCAGTGAAAGTAAGGCTTTAAATACCCCCAAAGTCCAAAGCTCAAATTTCTTTGTGTATCTAAGTTATTTTTTAAAGAAGAAGTCTCCCTTAAAGTTCTATCAGACTAATGTAAACAAAACAAGAAACTAACTTGACTTTTTAAACCTATAATAGCAAGGATAGAAAATGGGATATTTGGTGAATATATATGTACATGTATATATATACATATACATATATATACAAGTTATGACAATAGAGAATGAGAGAAAAATATTAAGATACAACAAAAATAATAGTAGTCATTGACAAAGAGAAATGCTAAAGTCATTTGGAGCACTGATCCTCTTCTCTTAGACACAATTCTGTTTTGTCAGTTTAGCTAGAACTTCACATTTCCCATATTTATAATAAAGAAGAACAAATAGTTTATATACTATCTTTAATTTAAGCAATGCCTTGAATTAAAAGAAAACCACTACCATGAATTGCTTTGAATTTCATTCTGTGTTTTTAACTTAATACACTATTAAAACATCTGCCAGTTAAAACATTGACCATTAAGATTATTGAGACTATTCGTAAACCCCAGAAAAAGAAGAAACCCCTGTGATTTTTTTTTGTTATGTTTTGTTTTGTTTTGTTTTACCTGCTTTAACTTTGTCGAGTCCCATTGACAATAGCTGTTGCTCCAAGGAAACAAAAGCAATCATTTCTTGAACCTCATTTCTCCTACACGTTCCTGTTTCTTTGCTGGAACAGTGTGTTATTGTTAAAAGGTTCTCCACTGTTCCTCAATTATCTGAGAAAATCTACAGCCCAAAGCAAATATTTACCTTATGCCTACAAAAAATAAGCCACAAAGAAAACCAACAAAACCCCATAACCCAAACCCCAAATACCTAAAAGCCAGTTCCCCAGGGCCTTACCTATAAGAAGAAAGTATATTTTGCACAGAAAGATCCCAACCATGCTGCTGAGGGGCTCCATAAAAGCATCCTGTCCCATGCATACAGCGCCCTGTTCTCAGTGGCAAGTTGGTTCATGGACCAGCAGCTGCTGGTTTATTTGCTAGGGAAATTAGCAGTGAGGTAACAGACCCTATCCTGCCTCTTGCTTCTGTGATTTGAATACAGAATGAATGTGTATACAAGGGACACAGGGAGTAGGAACACCTGTTATATGCTTTGCAAGAACACAGGGCTGTGGTTTTCAGAGCAGTTTCTTAGTGATTCTCAGTAATTTTTCAGTGTAGCTTTATAGATTACACTGAGTTGTTTATAATCATAATGATGAGGACAATCTCTTTGGGTGACCTCTTGACAAATAAATGCCAAATCTGGTTTTCTATTATGAAAAATTATGTTATTGTTTTGAAATTAGAAAAATTATTTTCTATTGAAAATTGAAGTTTCTTTTTTCACGAATTTGCTATGTAGCTATTCATTTTCATGAAGTTACTGGCTATCATGTAAAGAGTATACCAGAAAACAAAATCAGACCACTAGAGTATTTTTAAATGTATTTTTTCTGTGTTATATTTTCTGTTACAAATAGCTATGATAGTTGTTTTGATTCTATGTATTCATAGATTTAAAAACAAATTGCAGGTATGTTTCTACATGGGGACGAGGCATGCATTGTGTATAATTATAATGTATAGCATATGCCAACAGATAATAACCTGACACCAAATTTTCTCAGTTGAATCTTAGAGGGAGTTTCCCAGAAATCCATAAAGATCTTATCTGTGTGCTCAATCTTCATCTTCCCATCCTAGCTCATTCCTTCTTCCATTGACATGAGAATTTCTGCTGAATTTGGTAATTTGTGAGCTGCCATTTACAAGAAGTCTCTGGCCCAAGCTTTCTGCATGAAACAACTCTCTCTCTCTCTCTCTCTCTCTCTCTCTCTCTCTCATAGTCCATTGAAGAAATTCAATTGAGAGGAGGTAGGCATAGGCTTTCATTTTAACTGTTTAAACGAAGACTGTTGTTCAAATGTCATTAAAAATAAAAAGGAGCAATGGTTTTTCTGGAAACCAACTTTGGAATTTGCAACAAGGCCCCCAACTTGTTGAGAAAGTATCTAAAGGAAAGGGCACTTGTAGTGATATATTATTTATGATTTATTAAAGCTTGACTGAGGATTCAGAAAAGTAAAGTCAGCCACAAGCCATAGAAGTCAGGCACATATCTTCAATCCCAGAAGCCAGAAGGTAAGAGGTGGTGGTGCACACATTTAATTCTAGGAGTCAAGATTAAACAGGTAGATGGATTTCTGTGAGTTCAAGGCCACCCAGGGATACATGAGATTGAATCCCAGCACTAGATGGGTATATAAGACAGGAGCAAGATTCACGATGAGTCATTTGTTCTTCAGGCACACTTAAGAGAGGCAGCAAGCTTGTGTGTGGATCATCCATTTCAGCCTAAGCTGGAGATGAGAGCTAGTGGCCAGCAGCTTTGCTTTCCTGATATTCAGCTTGAAGCTTGATCCCTAATATCAGTCTCTGGGTCTTTAATCAATTCCTGTTACAGTCACTACTGTTGGGAAACCCAAGTCCTTTATAGAGGTCAACCTCTTTACAATGCTCCATAGCTCAGAAATATGTCAAGCACATCCTCAGCCCCAAACAATGACTACAAGTTTCTCCGAACTCTGTAAATCTTACACACATATCTGTGGCTGTGTTAACCACATTCATTTCAGTTCATTTCCTTAGCTGTGTACTTCTCAGATCCTTGATTACAGGGAGCCGACTTAGTCATTGACAGTTGGCACCTAAGCAATGTGCTCACTTTTGTTAACAAGTTTCCCCAGGGGAAAAAAACTCCTTATGATGCTCTTTAGCTTAAGTTGTCTTCTTAAACACACTCAAATTTTTATACTGGATGGTGCAATATCCAATTGGAAAGAAACAGGACTTAAAAGACATCAAGCTCCCTCACTCCATTTAGATCAGTCTTAACACAAGCTGCTCCTATTAAATAAGATCTTTATAGTGTCCTCAAATGAAAGGATTGTTTGTTATGAGGGCTCCAGGGTCCCTGCCAAAATGTGAGAAACAAAGACAGTATAGTGGGTTTTCCCTACTGTCAAATGTACATACTTTAAAGGATTTATAAAAATTCCAGTATTTTTCTTATTTTACATTAAAATATACGTATTTTGTGACAGAAAGAAATAGTAGGTGTTATAGTAAGAATTTAAATACCAGAATGAACCTTTATTGTGCTCTTTTCCTTGTCATTATATACATTAAAATTTTTGCAGTACTTGAGTTGTACAAGGACTGCACACCTTGACCACGCGCCCTCTAGTGGTAGCTTCACAAATATAACTGCTTGTGAGTAATTTGTGAATTCAGGAAATTTCCACTGGTCATACAAGCAAATTTAACTTCAAGTACTGTCAAACTGACAGAATTCTTAAAAATAGTAACAAAGAGCTTTGCCAATATAAGAAAATTCTCCCAGACACATGACATCACTGTGAGTTTGAGGCCAGCCTGGGCTATAGCGAGATGCTGCCTGGAACTCAGGGCAAGGATGGAATGGGATTGTCTCACCACAGTACTTAATTGCAAGTTGATAATCTACTAATTCGTTTGGTCCAAAAAAGTGGGGGGGGGGGATCTATATCTTCACTGATTTACAGTCTTAGTTATAGTTGCAGTAGAAAAATGATTAACCTGAAACAATCTCTGTCTATGAGGATTAGGGCACAACTGTTTTCTGACCTTTCCAGTCACACATAGTAAATTATTGGGCTGGTTTTGCTATACTCAAGGAACATCTACTACATGCATTTCAAGCAGCAATATTCTTTAATACAGAACCCTTACTGGAATTATTTACAACAGCAAAAACAACAGAGGAGAGTTGGTGACATAAGATGACATGAACAGTTGTATATACGATGAATCAGAGAAGGAAATCATTTATTATAATTAACAATGCAATTGCATTTGATTCTGAGAAGTTGTATTGTCTGCAGGAAAAGTGGAACACTGGAGGGGGTAACTGCATATGCAGATTTCTGGGCTGGAGTCCAAGGGTCTGTGCAGTCAGGTTGACAACTGCTGCCTCCCAGAGGGCCCACGTTGTATTTTTCTAATAAACCTTAAACTGAAGTAGTTAAAAGGCATTGGTTTAGGAATCACTCCTCAACACAATACACAAGTTTCTGAATAATCAGTTTACACAGCTACAATAATCTTAGGCAAGTTCCTTAATTTCCTCACACGTGTTTCATCATTTTTAACAAGGAGGTAATAATAACTTCATAAGGCGCTCATGCATGTGGGCTTGGGTGTGTCTTTCTTTTTTTACTTTGTTGTTTGGTTATTCATTTGCATGTTAGTTTTCTAGAGAGAGAAGGAAAGGGTGTGAAGTTGGTGGGTGGGGAGGTGGGGCTGATCTAGAATGAGTTGGGGGCCAGGAAACCTGATGGGAAAATATTGTATGAAGAAAAGATTGTAATAAGAAAAGGAGAAAAAGCTTCTCATACAGATACATGAAGCCATCGAGAGTCCCTTTCAATTCGCAAATCTTCAGTGTTACCTACTTTTAGCTCTGAGTTCGCTGCCCTGCATAGACTCAAAATTTGAAATCCTTATAAAACTGAGTCTCCGAAGCTCCCCTGTTACTTTCTCCTTTGTAAAACCACTAATGACCAGAGATGACTTTAAAGTGGCACATGTTCTCACAATTACTGATAAGTCATGGTTTGTCTTTGCTTAAGCAGGTAGGAGAAAAAAAAACCAAAAAAACAAAAAACAACAACAACAACAACAAAAAAAGAAAAAAGAAAAAAGAAAAAAAAAAAAAAAAAAAAAAGAAAGATAGGGGTTAGCGAAATCCTTCGGTTTTATCAGAGCTCTTTACAGGGAATGCCAAGAATGCAGAAGAACCTAAATCTGTCTGTTCTAAAGCATCCCGAGTACCTGTCTCCCACTTTGCTTCGGCCACACCCTGTGAAATTCCGGGTCTAGGACACTTGTCTGAGTGCTCTCTCTGGAGGGAAGGCTCACATTCTCATTACCCACCACCCCCAGCCCAGTGCTTTCTCTGCACTCCCAGAGGGCGTCTTGTCAGAGTTTGTTTAGCTGAATGGCCAGAACACCTAAGTCTCAGGTATCTGCCTCTCGCGGCAGCCTTTTCCAAATACAGGTGGTCACTTGAACCAATAAGGTGTGCTGGTCGTGGGAGAGATGCTTCTCGGGAAATGTAGTGACCAGGTCATCCTCCTTCTGCGAGTGGAGCCGGAAGACTACACTTCCCAGCGTGCTCTGCGAAAGGAAGGCTGACCCAGGCTGGCAGCTCCACGTGACTACTCACTATGGCTTCCCTGTGTTGTAGCCGGCTGTCTGGTGGTCTTGTGTGATTTGTTACTTCTCTGCGGCGGGGTAATCCTCTCGCGACCTCGACATGCAAAAAATAAAATCTCTAATGACCCGGCAGGTGAGTCCTGTAGTCTGAAGCAAAGAGTTCCTTCCTTCCGGCTGGGAGAGGAGCTCAGTTCCTAGTCCCCGGGCAGAGGTGGGCGGAGGCTTAAGTTGTAGGGGGTGGAGGGTCTCAGGGGTGCTGGGCAGCCTGGAGTACTCACCCGAGCCTGCTGTGGGTACTGTCCCCCTAGACACAGCCGTTTAGACAAGGCCAGCCAGGGAGCTGGCCTGTCTTTGTCGCCCCTTCTCTGCTTTCCCTTCCTTTCCAGGACAGTCTCAGCTGCTTTGCAGCGTCCCCCCTCATCCTGACAGGCGGCGGTTTGCCAGTAGGTACCCTGGGAAGGCAGGTGGGGTCTGTGCAATAGACAAGACTGGAGAAGAGCGAGGGTCAAGAAACAGGTCTGTTTGTAGACAACATTGGTAGCGTTGTGGGTTCGGGGGCAACTATCCAAGCCTTGTTTCCTGGATGTGAAAATGAGAATGACAATTCCTTTCCTGTTCCTCCTATCTCAGAGTACCACTGTGAAGGTCATCAGTAAACCAGTGTATGCGAACATTCTTTGTGTATTGCTACTTAAAAAAAAAAAAAATCCTTGTTACTGCAAAACAACACTGCTTTTGTTTTTGCCAGAATGCTAAT